AATCTGGTTTCAAACCTATCTACTGAATTCTTAATTTTAGTAATTATATTTGTTTCAATTCTAGAATTTTCATTCAGTTGTTTTTTTAAAATGTATTTAGAATCTAGTTATATTGTGAAATTCTCCATTGTGTCAGTTATTTTCCTAAACATATTAATCATAGTTACTTTTAAGTCCTTGTTTAATAATTCCAATAGGTGGATCACCTATGGATTTTTTTCTGTCTTGTTTTTTCTTTCCTTTGGCTTTTGGTCATCAGGATCTCTTGTTTCTTGGCATACCTGGTAGTTTTTTAATGAATGCTGGACAATATATGTGAATAATTTAGAGAGACTAGATGATATTATTGTCCTCTGGAGAGGATTCAATTTTTTTCTGGCTGGTAGTTACAGTAAGGAAAGATCACTTCATTCAATCAGGGACTGAGATAGTTTAAAGCTGGTTTCACACTTTGTGAGGACTGGTCTGTTAACCGTTTGTCTTTATTTCTAAGAAATAGTCCTTTAAGGTTTCCAGTTGAAGGTTTTAGTTATTTTCCAAGACCCTTCCTCATCTTTGTGAATCTACTGAAAGGTCCACTTAGTTATGTAACCTCTTAGCAGCTGCTTTTTCCTTAATGTCATGCCACTAAACAGCTTAAGATTCAGAAAGTGCCTCAAGGGTAAAATCCATGCAGAAAGTCATACTCACTTCTGTTTTGTTCCCTTTGTCTAGAAAATTTGTCCCTCAAATCCTAGCTGCATTTGAAGCCCTGAACTATAATTTTTGTCTTCCAAGCCAAGTGAAACTGCTGCAAACTCTAGGCCCCAGCATGCTGCTTGTCTCAAATGCCCCGAGAGGAAAACACATTAGGAAATGTTTGGCTCACTGCGGTGCATTTCCCTTCTCTCCGGCATCTGGCTCCTCAAGTACTGACTCCCTAAGTTTGCCTTAGCTGATCTCTAGTATCTTAAAAGAGTTATTTTTTTTAAGAAAAAAAATGTATTCACATTTTACATTGTTGAAATTATTTTAGTGTTCTCTATACAATTGTGGTGGTAGATTTAGTGTGATATAAGCTTATTCCATTGTAGTTGGAACCTGAGGTTATATTCTTGAGTTTTTAATCTCAAAAATCACATTTTCCCCTAGAAATTATATTTGGTTGTCTCTCAAATCATCATCCTTGTTTATGGACCCTATCCTATTTTCATCTTATGTCTTCTATTCCTTTCTTTATGATTTTAATGACTTAAAATATACTTAGTTTATAGTTTGAATCCTATTAGATTATCTGAAATTCTCAGGGGTGTAATTTTACTATATGTTATCTGCTGACTCTTAGTTTGTATTTGCTTCTGCCAGATGCCCCAAGAGGGTATTAGCAGCTGAGGACCAATTTTTATGTTAATTTCTTAGCTTTAGAATTTCTGAGACCATATAGCTATTGCATATATGAATCCCAAATGTGAGCAGAGACATATGGTTGCAGACTATGAAAGGAGATATTCTTTTCTCTACTCAGAGTTCAGACTTATACAGATAAGCTTTCTTGTCATTTTGTTTACTCGTGAGTGAATGTTTCTTAGGTTTCCTTTTATTTAAGGTATGGACCACATATAGATTCTGACTTTAAATATATATATATATTCCAACTCTCCATGTTACATTACATGGGCTCAGTATCTTAGCTCTTGTTTCTGTAAGGCCATTGAAGCCAGTTACTGAGACCAGCACAACGCCCTAGGGCAGCTGAAAAGTCAGCATCTACTACTCACTTTGGATTTTAGGGGTTTTTTTGTATAATCCTCGGGGATTTGCCCCATTTTCTTGTGGACTCAGCTGTGCATATGTGAAGATATTTGTATACTTTATTCAACATTTTTAGGTGTTTTTTAGGCAAAGGTTTTCAAGTTGTTCAGTTCTCCATAATTCCATAAATAGAAGTCTTAACTGATATAATTTACATTGCTGGCTTATAGGAAGACTTAACAAATATTATCTATTATTAAATTTCATTATCAACATTAGTTCCTTAAATATATAAAACATGAACATTTGGATATAATATATAATAGATTATATATGTAACATATATGTAATAGATTATATATAATAGACTATAAAGCTTTATGATAATTAGTCTAAAACTGAGTATATGGTTACTGAATGTAATATTGGGTTGTTGGAAAAGTCATGACATATTTTTTCTGTTTTTCATTGCAAAACTGAGTCATAACTTTTCTGACAGCCCAATAATATGTAGATCATGCTACAAAAACACAGTAAAATATGGCCTATTGAAATAGTTGAAACCATATCACTTTTTTAAATTACATGTTCCCCTGACTTTAAAAAAGTTTTTATCTATTTATTTATTTATTTGTTTGTTTTATTGGGGTGACATTGGTTAGTAAAATAATACAAGTATCAAATGTGCAATTCTATAATACACCATTTATATATTGCATTGTGTGTTCACCACCCAGAGTCAGTTTTCCTTCTATCACCATATTTTTTTTTTAACTCCTTCTCCTCAGGGAAACAAGAAAATGTTGTGGCTTTGTAGCTTTTAAGCGTTTAAAGATATATCTATGGGTGTGTATATTTATGTGGGAATTACTTCACATACACCCATATATATTATTTATATTCCAATTTAAACATTTTACATTTTGCATGAAATTATATATCCTTTTTGCCTTTTTGTAGAAGGATACTTCATCGAGACTTGAAATCAAAGAATGTATTTCTGAAAAATAATCAACTTAAAATTGGTAAGATTTTTTAAAGTATGTATTCCAAAATCATGAAAGAGTATATTCTAGATGTTATCGACATATCAAGTTGTTATGCCGTGTTAGAGTAATCACTGGTTTATTTTAACTTCTCAAATTTTTGTTCTTATTTGGTTGGGGCCAATAAAACCAAATTATTTTGTTTCTGATTATCTGATATAAATTGAGGTATAAGACATTTGCTACACACTTTGTAGATTCAACTCATATTTTTTGAGTCCCTACTCCATTCCAGCCACTTTGCAAGTGGTTAGACTTGTTTTACTAGTCTGATTAATTGCTACAGGTTTCCCCACGTAAGCGATTAGCAGTTATCACAGATAATCAAAATGTTGACACGATGACTTTGTTAACCTTTAGTTCTCCTTCAGAATGGTACCTCCACTCATAACAATTATTGGATTGTTTAATCTCCATGCAAGATGTTCTTAGAAAGGGAAGACATAAAATCATGTAACTAGGTAGGCAAGTAGGGAGAAGCTGATGGATTCAAGTTTTTATAGTTTTGTTCCTGAAAAGTCTCAGATCTTTTATTTAAAATTTGTTCTTTATTGTAAATCAAGAACAAATTCTCCCTTCTCAGATGAAATTCAAATCATTATATTCAGCCCTTCCAAATCATTCTGTTTGTTGTTATTCAGACTTGAAATAGCTTTTTGTTTCAAGTTGCTGGTCCTTCACAATTCCAGAAATAGAAAGTTTTGGTTTACATAATTCACTTTACTAGTGCAAACATTCTTTTCTCATATAAGGCTTGTGTTTTTAAAGCTATTTACCAGGATTGTGTAATCGAAAATACATTATTTTTCTTGCCTTTAAAATGCTATGAACCACACTGCATGTTAGAATTGTCAAATTAGATATTGAGTTGTTAATTTTCAGGGTTGATTTTCATTGTTTTAAAATATTCATAAAAATTAATTATTATTTCAAGGGGATTTTGGAGTGTCGCGACTCCTGATGGGAACCTGTGATCTAGCCACCACTCTAACTGGAACTCCCCATTATATGAGTCCAGAGGCTCTGAAACACCAAGGCTACGACACAAAGTCGGACATCTGGTGAGTGGGCTAGTCCAGAGGACTTATTCATCTGCTGCCCTGAAAGAATAATGCATTTGGTTTTAGGCTCATTTACTTACTACATCCACTCATTTTATCACTTTGACAAGAGTAAAATAAATTATTTTGGGTTTGGAATTTGATAGATTCCATTAAATTGATTTCAGAAAGTCTCTTTATTCATTGATAAACTGGTTGGTTTTGAGTTTTTCTTCTTGAACTGCCAGGGAAGGTTCTTAAGGGATTGTAAACTAAATTTTGATAGGTTTCTGCTAGCCTATGAAATAAAGCATTTGTAATCCCAAGCACTGTGCTTTATTTTATTTTAAGGTTAACTTCCACCTCTGTGGGAGAATGTACAGCAATTCTTAATTTTTTTTTCTTCCTGTTGCTTTTAAGAATATTTAAAGATACTAACTTTAAGAATAAACTTAAATTTAAAAAATCCTGGGCTTTTAGTGATAGATGCACTTGAGACTTTTCAGTTTCTCTGAGCTCTCACATCAAAGGAATTTCTCCTTCCTCATCATGGAACCAGTTTAAATCTCCGTGCAGAAGCCATGTGGAAAATTGTATTCTATGGTTAGCAACAGATCCTATCTGGGGAAATTTTCTTTTCCTTAGAAGAGGAATCTTGCATAATTAGTGGCTTGTTAAATGTTGAAAGGACAAACTAGCTGAGAGATTGTTAATTAAGTTAATAGTTTTATTGCATGTAAATCAACTTAAGTATTAATAATTCTGAGCTTTCAAAGAAGAACCATATGAAAGATTGTGCCCATTTCATTCTTCTAAAGAGGATAAAGAAGAAAGTTACCTTTTTTCTGGTTAATGAAAAGTAAGCACAGCAGGGGATATGCCTTGGGATTCTCATAAAGGCCATTACTCCTGTTCTTGTTCTGGTACCCAGGTGAGAGAGAACACAGTCAGGATTAGCTCTGGCTCTGGCATATCTCCATCTCCAGTTCACTTCTGTGATTATTCATTTCTAGGTTCTTCAGTGGTTTTTTTCATTGTTAGATTGTTTTTGCCCTGGTGATCTTTTCCAACTCACTCACCATCTTCCTCTATCACAGCCTTCCTCTGTCCCATTCAAAACAAAAACAAAGAAGAACAGACAAAAACACAAAGGTATCTTCAGAAGAATGAGTTTCTTTAAATTTTGTTTTATTGAGCATCTACTGTTTGCCAATGACTGTGTAAAAGCCTGAGTGTAAATTATCAAAAGTGAAAGGATTCCTCCCCTGCAGGAGAAGTTTTCCTATTCTTTGTGGAATATCTTTCTCCAGCTTGAGAAAAATTATTCTTGGGTTTTGGATTGAATTTGAGTTACATACCTATATCTATCTTCACACTCAGTTTTTAAAAATTATTATGGACATTTAAAAATAGATTTAAATATATAATTTCTTCATGATTTGAGATTACATGATATTTCAAGATGATGTTGCATCATATCATTTGAATTAAGAGTAAATTAATTTATGAAGCCCATCATTTAAGCCTTTGGAATTACAAGTAGCAAGAAAGCTAGCTCTTTTTGACATGTGTCTATATCTGCTTGCAAATCAGATGTATGTCTCCCAGGAAACTTAAGCAACAGAATCCACAGAAGAGTAAAGCATGGTGTCTTTTTGTCTAAGTTGTGTGTCTTCTTTTTAAAATACTGCTCCTAGTATTGCATGAAGAACTACAGGGATATCAGAAAGTATTGCTAAAATGTTTTAGGCTTACAAAAATGATATCTAACTAAGGCAAAACTAACTTTATGTGACTAAGGCAAAACTTTAAAAAGTCAAAATCTCCCAAATATAAAAATAATGAAGGANAAATGTAGGTCAGTTCTGTTTCTCTGTTTTGATATTTTTAGTCTTTTGTGATTAATAAATAATACATGGAATGTATTTCTACCATTTATTTTGTTAATTTCCTTTTCTTTTTTCCTTATTTTCTTCGGATTGGTCAGGTTTTGTTATTCTTTTTTCTTCTACTAGCTTAAAAATTATACATTTCATTCCTATTGTTTTAGCGTTTACCCTTCAATTATTAAATGTATACTTGAATAAATGAAGTTTGAAGTGAAACACTGTATCTACACTTTTCTTGAACGCTACAAAAAATTTAATTACATTCCCCCTTCCTTTTATATTATTGTTATTCAGGATTATAGTTCTACTTTCTCTTAATACTCCACAAATTAGTGATTACCATTATCATGGGTTCTAAGCTGACAACTGTTTATATTTTCTTACACTTATCACTTACTTGGTTCACCACTCCTTTTTGCAACCCAGGCCTGCCTTTTGTGACCCTTTTCATTCTCCCTCAAATAAATCCTTAAGTTATGTGAATTGAAAATACTATCAGTTTTTTATTTGTTTGCTTGAATTATTTTTTACTTATTCTTTAATAATAATTTACCTATTATTTTAGCTAAATATTTCATATTGATATTATCTACTATTTATTAGGAATAAAATTCTAGGTTGACAGATATTTTGTGTATCACTTTGATAATACTATTTCTCCAACTTCTGGATTCTGTTACTGATGTTGAGAAGTCACTTTCCATCTAATTGTCATTTTAATTAATCTCTTTTCTTTCAGCTAGTTGTCAATATGTTCTCTTTGTTGGTGGTGTTCTTAGTATTAGAATATATTGTCCAGTTGTGGATTTCTTTCTTTCTTTTCTTTTTATTCTGTTTGAGATTTGTTTTGGATCTGAACTCTTGAATTCATGTCTCTCTAAATTCTGAAAATTCCCATCATTTTCTTTTTCGATACTGCTTCTCTCCTAATCTCCTCTCATTTCAGAGTGACTGTTGGATGTATGTTGGGTTTTCACATTTTATTCTCCATTTCTATGAACTCCTTCTAGGGACCCATTTACACATATGTTAGAACTTTTAAACTATATTTTATACATCTCTTATACACTTTTCTATGTTTTTCTCCCGTGTGTGTGTGTGTGTGTGTGTGTGTGTGCCTCAATCTGAATATTTTCACTAACCTTTATTCCATTTTCTAAACCCTCTCTTTGACTGTGTCTAATCTGGTTTCAAACCTATCTACTGAATTCTTAATTTTAGTAATTATATTTGTTTCAATTCTAGAATTTTCATTCAGTTGTTTTTTTAAAATGTA